ATTCTGTGGGACACGGTTTAGGAAACACTAGATTGAGATAATCACTCGTCATGACTATGTAAATGGCACTACTTTCACAGCATCAGTGGGGCAAAAAGTCTGAGTGGGGTCGATTTGTGCCAGAGCACTAATCCATCTATCCTGCCTGGAACCCGTAAAATCCTTTTGCAAGATGGTTTCCTGAGATAAGGATGCAGCTTGGGGCCAGAGAGGGTGAGATCATTAGATTTGCATGAGAATCCCATGGCGACCACAGTTTCCTTAGCTCTGGACTTTAAAGCCACTGCTTCTTCTTCTTTGATCTAAGTCAATTTTGGTATTGTCAGGTGGTGGCTGTGGAAATACTCGATGGCCCTTTTAAATGTTTAAAGGCTCCTGAGATGCACTGCTGACTGTAATCAGGGATTCTTGAATGACAGCATGTGTCTTAGGACTGCAAAGGGACTGAAAAGAACTTCTGGACCCGTTCTCTCTCTCTCTCTCACCCAGGCTAGAGTGGAGTGGGGTGATCTGGGCTCACTGCAATCTCCTCCTGGACTCAAGCAATTCTCCTGCCTCAGACTGCTGAGTAGCTAGGATTACAGGTGCCAAGCCTGTGCTTGGCTAATTTTTGTATTTTTAGTAGAGACAGGGTTTCGCCATGCTGTCCAGGCTGGTCTCGAACTCCTGGCCTCAAGTGATCCACTCACCTTGGCCTCCTAAAGTTCTGGGATTACAGGTGTGAGCCACCGCACCTGGTTCGTTTTCTGTTTCTAAGTAGTTAATAATAATATTTTATAAATCTTCAGTGGTTTTTTGTTTTAGATTCTAGAACAGCATTTCCCAAATTTTGCTGCACAGAGAAATTGTCTGGGAAACTTTTAATTCCAATGCCTGTACTGCATCCCATTCCAATCAAATCATGATGTTGGGTGTGGGCGCCTACATTTGTATTTTTCCAAGATCCCTAGTGATTCCAATGTGCTGCAAAGTTTGGGGACCACTGGTTTACAAGCATTTTAACTTCCAGACATTTTTTTTTCCCAAATCAATTGGTCTTTTATTGCATCTTTTAATATCACAAATAGGTCTTAGGAATCATCCGGCATCTTGTTTCTGTAGCTGGACATCTCTTAGATCTTATTCATCAGCCTGCTGAACAGTTCCTTTTTCAGAGACATAAATACCATCCAAAAATTTCCTGATATCCTTGTTTTTAACTGTTGTGGCTTGCTGAATCAAAGCCGCTGAATTTGAAACAAGCTCAATGTCGTTGCCTTCAAGGATTAATTCATCTTTCTGGGCTTGAGATACTGAACAAGCAACACCTGGTCTCATCCGAACCCTGCGGATGTGTTTTTCACCCGAGAAATTTCGGATTTCAACAGGAGACCCACTCTCCCGGATAATGACATTGATGGGGAAGTGACCATACACAGACCTCAACTTGTAATGGAAGCCCAGTGTAACACCCTTGATCATGTTCTGTCCACGAGTACAAATAGTCCGAATGGTAGCCAGTTCCTTTCTGTTACCTCACGATTTGTCAACCCGGAGCCTTTTTTGTTTTCTTTCCAAGAAGACTGAGTTCTACATTGATGTGATTGAAGTCCCGCTGCGGCCCTTCACGATAACTGTGCGTCCCTCCAGAGTAATGCCAACATTTTCTAGAATGTTGGCAGTCTGATGGCTGAGAACGGTCTTCATTCTTGCAGTAGACGTGGCAAAGAAAGCAATTTCCAGACATTTTTAAAGCAACTGTGGGGTAGGTGTTATGATTCACACCTATAATCCTGGCACTTTGGGAGGCAGAGGTGGGAGGATCATTTGAGCCCAGGAGCTTAAGATCAGACTGGGCAAAATAGCGAGACCCCTGTCTCTACTTAAAAAAAAAAATTATCCAGGTATGGTGGTGTGTTCCTGTAGTCCCAGCTACCCAGGAGGTGAAGGCAGGAGGATTGCTTGAGCCCAGGAGTTGAAGGCTGCAGTGAGCTACGATCGTGCCACTACACTCCAGCCAGAGTGACAGAGTGAGGCCCTGTCTCTAAAAAAAAAAAAAAAAAAAAAAAATTTACAGAACTGTGTCTCTCCGGGACAGCAGTTCATCCTCATCCTCATTTTGTAAGTGACCACTGAGGTCCTAAGAAGTTAAGGAAGGTGTGATCAAGATGGATTGTTTCACGTTCCAGGTAATTGAATAATCTAGGCCAAACCCAGTCTATCAGACTAGATTCTGAAAATGGTGGGATGAGAGATTGAGTGGGGGGAGTGGGGAGCTGGCCCTGAAAGCCCAGTGGTCTGAACATGGGCTTTGTGTCTGTAGGAAAAACAAGAAAGCCGCTTCAACACTCTGCCTCCTGCCCCTCCCGTCAATGCTGTTTCTGTCTGTAGACTGCTGGTTTGCATTTCATTTACAGGGACACAAAATGGAACCTTTGTGCTGGAATTGAAGGAAATTATAAAAGCCCACAGCTTCTCTTCAGACTTAATGTCAACTATTTGTCTCCTGTTATTTTCAAACAAACAAGTCCTTCCCATGAGTTTCGAGGCAGTCTCAAACACTCCCTCCCTTGGCTCTTTCTATGGTTTCCTAGTCCCTGCTTCAGCAGGCATGAGAAAAACCCACCATTTGTAGACTTGTCCTATCAGTCACACGGCACAGCTGTAGGGGTCAGGTGAGTCCTGGCCAGAGGCTCTGAGCAGGGTGGTGGGTCACACAGATGCACACAAGTCTGGAAACCAATGTTTGACCAAGACGGCGCTTTCCTCAGGCTTCAGGTTCATCAACTAGAAACTTAGAAGCAATGATGAAAGAAATGACTCCCAAATCTCCCAAATACTGCCAGCTGAAACATATTTCCACCATCTGGCATCCTATTTTACATATGAGAAGATGAAGAAATTTCTTTCTTTTTTTTCTTTTTGGAGACGGAGTCTCACTCCATTGCCCAGGCTGGAGTGCAATGATGTGATTCCAGCTCACTGCAACCTCCGCCTCCCGGGTTCCAGCGATTCTTCTGCCTCAGCCTCCCGAGTAGCTGGGATTACAGGCGTGCACCACCACGCCCAGCTAATTTTGTATATTTAGTAGAGACAGGGTTTCACCATGTTAGCCAGGTTGATCTTGAACTCCCAACCTCAGGTGATCCACCCTCCTTGGTCTCCCAAAGTGCTGGGATTACAGGCATGAGCCACGGTGCCCAGCCAAGAAATTTCTGACAATGCTAAAATATGGAAGACAAGTAAAGAGTTCTATTTCCACTAGAGGTAGAGAGAGGCCCAAGTTAAGTGGCCACTTGTGTGTTCTGCTCTGTGTTATGGGGGACTTGGAATGGATGACTTTAAATTCTGAGGCCCTATAGTAGGTCTTAGAAGGAAAACTAAGATGCTTTACCTTACAATTAAAAAAAAATGATGACATGAAAGTTTCTGTAGGTTAGATGACTATTTGAGCACTATTTCTTCCCTACCCTCAGAATAATGACATTGTGAATTCTTCTAGAACTGCACTGTTGTGGAAGATTCCCATTGATACCCACAGCAGGGACTCCGTAAGATCTGTCTCTAAATAGGTTTGACCAAAAAACACCTTTTTTTTGGAGTATGAATGAATCTGGGATGTCATGAAATGTGTGAGTAATTGACTTTATAAAAATAGTGGAATTTAAAGTTGCCCCTGTCAATGACACACTCACTAGCATTCCACAATAGTTCCTTGATTAGGGAAAAAGGGGGATGAAAAACCTGGGAAGTGCTTATCTCAGAGGAGTGTTCCATGCAGAAACGAGTCAGTCCTCACATATGTGGGAGCTGATAAAAAAGGCTTAACACTCACTACTCAGTCTAAACCGGGGCTACCCAGAGTATGAACCACAGACCGGCAACATCAGTATCATTTAGGAGTTAGTTAGAGATGCAAATTCTCAGGTCCTCAAAACAGACCTACCGAATGAGAATCTCTAAGGTGGGACCTGGGTATCTGTGGTTGCACAAGGTCTCCAGGTGATTCTAGTGCTTGCTAAAATTTGAGAAGCACTGCCTTCGACCCATGGTTCTCAAAGTGTGGTCTCCAGACCAAAAAGCACCAGCATCATCTGGGAGCTGTTCAGAATCATCTGAGACTCTTTCTCAATGGGCATTTGCAGGTGATAGTGGAAATGCTTCATGGCGTTTTTAAGTGCTTAAATGCCGCAGAGATGGCAAAATTGAATATAGAAATGTAATGAACTCTTAGGTATGTGCATGTGTCTTAGAGCAGAAAAGGAACCAAAAAGATCTCCTGGACCCATTTCTTGTCTCTAGGTAGTTAATAATATAACCTTACAAATCTCCAGTAGTTTTTGTTTTTCTTTCCGCGTTTTGGTTTAAAACAGTGGTTGCTAAATCAGCAACTCTAGAGGTGGGCCCAGCAATCTGGGCTTTAACATAATCTCTCCAGGTGGATGCAGCCTCAAGATTGAGAAGCGTTACATCACGGTTTCCATTGGATTTCCCCCCCTGCATGGCCCCATAGAGCATTAGACTTCCATGTTTCAGCCTGGGCTTGGGGCCCCGGTAGCTGACTCCTGGCTGCTGCCCATCTCTGCTACCTTCTCTCCCTGATTCCAGGCTGAGAAGTGCAGGTTGGATGTCGCGCTTGTAGTAATGTGACCACTCTCGGAATCTGGTAGAGGAGATAGCAAGGTTTTGAAATGGGGACTTTTTTTTCCCACTTCCTCTCTGTGAACCAGCCTCCACACGGCCCCCAGCCTACCCAGCCTCTTTCCTGCCATGCCTGCAGGCCTTTCCGGGGCTCACCTGGCCTGTCTCCAGCTCCACAGAAAACATGTCCTCTTCTCAGGGGATGAAGTCACCTTACCCTGATGCAGAGACCATATAGGACTTAGGACCTCCCCCTCAGGGTGGCTACTAATCGCTTTCCTACACTCAGGCCAGTTTGAGGAGGCTCTGGCTAACAAGCGTATTTTCCCATAGGAATCCGGACCTGTAATGTTAAGAAATCAGTAAATATTAAAAAGAAGATGGATGCAAGAAGGATGAAGAAAGAAGGTAGGGTTGGGAGCGTTACCAATGGAAGCTCCTGCCCTGGGGCTGTCTAGGGTTGGAGGATTTGCAGTGGGAAGAGGCCACTGCGCGGCCACTCTCATTATGCTGGCAGAGAACAAAGCATGTTCAGGAGGTGGAAGGGGGTTGCTGCTCATTTTGCTCCAGGCAGTTGAGTTTGGACTCTGCCAGATTCATGCAAATGCCCTATCCCACAAGGTCTTTACATTTGCTTGGAGGAGGCAAGGGTGAACAGTCTGTGCTTGGAGGCCTTGCTGGGAATTTTCTAGTGAGAGGCAATGTCACACATGACTTTTACAGGGAGATGGAATCCTTCTACAGCACATTCTTTCCTGACAGCTCTGTCCCCAGCCAACTCCAGCTCCTGGACACGCACGAGGTAGTGTGGGAATACAACCTACACTTCACTTGATCATCCCCACTGACGGCATTTTTTTTTTAAACTGCATTCAGTTTGGAGATGGCAAGATGACTCTTTTAACTCCCCTCCCTGCAAAACTCCAGTTGAACTGACCAAAGAAATAGAGAATGAGGGAAAGAATGCACCACATAAGAACACAGAGGAAGGTAGCAGCTGCAGGAGAGAAATGGAATCATTTCTGCTAAATAGAGTGACGTTGTAAATGAAAGATCGGAAGGACTGACATGCCCATGATTTTGGATCTGTAAAGGAACAGGCTGCTTGATAAACTAATGGACTGAATTTCTAGCAACACCTACCCCTCTTGGCAAACACCCCAAACTTCTGACCAGCAACCATAGTGAAAAGCTTTGTGTTTTTTTGAGCCTTGTTAAGCTTGAGTTCAAACCCACTACTTGTTAGTCGTGCAAGCTAGTCAGCCTTAGTTTCGTCCTCTATTAAATGAGGAGAATACCTACCTTATAAGGTGTAACTAGGATTAAATGAAATAGTTTGGGCTGGGAGACATAGCCAAAAGTTTTAGGTACCATTTACTGATTACTACATGTCATGTACTGTGCTAAAAGCTTTACATAAATTATCTTTAATCCACAAGAAAGTTCCATGAACTTTGTCTTGTTCTAATCACCATTTTACAGGTGAGGCACTTGAAGTTTAGCAAGGTTAAGAAACTTGTTCAAGGTTCACAGCTACGAAAAGGGTAGAGTAGGAATCTGAAGCAGACAAGTACAGAACCCATGCTTTTAAGCACTAAGATGTACTGTTCCAAGCCCTTGAAATAATTATTTTCTTTAGTTGTCAGGCCTTCGATTAACCACTTTTATTGGTGAAAAAATAGAAGTTTAGGGGTAAAACAATTTGAGGTTATGCAAATATTTAAAATCAATCAGGTCTGTTTGATTCTGTCTCTTGCTCCTTACGATTCTGTCATTGTTTAATTGATATACTTTCTAGGATGTCATTCTGTTCCCCTACTTTGAATTGGATTTTATTCTGACTGAATACAAGGGGTGCAAAATAGGGAGGACTTCAAAATCTGGTTCCGAGGCCTTCCCATTGTGTGAAGAACCGAGCTATTGCATGTGACTGCCTCTAAATGGCCTGCATTTCTCTTTCTTTGCTGGTAGGACTCACAGAAAACACTGGACTTCCCCGGAAGCTGCTTGAAAAACACGACCCCTGGCCAGCCTATGTCACCTATACCTCCCAGACAGTGAAACGACTCATTGAGAAAAGCAAAACTAGAGAACTGGAATGCATGCATGCCCTTGAAGAAAGCCCCTGGGCATCTAGGCAGAATAAACCTTCCAGCGTCATTCAGCCAAAAAGGAGAAAGTCATCCAAGTCTTCCGGCAAAGCTGTGTTCAGGGACATGCTGTCAGAATCCACGTTATCAATGTGGGATGCTTATTCGGTCTCGGCCATGGCTCCTACCGTGATCCCAGAACCCACACGCTTACATACGGATTCCAGAGACTGTCCAGCTGAAAACTATAACAAGATCATCTTTGCCCGAAAGCCTGTGATGAGGATGCTCTCTACAGTTCGCTACTGACCAACAAGGAGAAACATGCAAATGTTTAGCTAGGGGTCCCTGCAGCCATCCCCCAAGAACGTACAGCAATTAAGCTCCATTTACCACTCATTTCATGGTGTCCTTTAAATCTGAACTTGCTCTTGCTCATGCAGAGCTTGGTTGAGAGAAACCAGATTAGAATGTGAGCTGTAGGTGGGTGGGTGAGTGTGTGCCCTCCCACACTGCTCTCTGGTGGGGTTGGGCAGTCCCCGGCTCTAGTCTCTGCCACAGATGCTCAGGACCAAAATGTGGGTGATTCGTCTGGGTCCAGGCAGGAGATAGAAATCACACCAGCTATTTTATTAGAGATAATATAAAGGATGATTAACCAGGTGACAGTAAAGGGCAGGAAAGGAATACAAAGGTATGCATGGAGGTAGTACCACAGGAAGCAGGCATCACACTTGAGGCTTGGGAACAAGAGGAAGATGCTGGACTCATTGAAAGGTAGTTACTTGGAGAAGGGACACGGGGCTGAATCTCAGACTTCTGAGGTGGGAGAGTGGGGATGTTGCTCAACGCAGCTGGTATCTCTGAGCTCCGAGGGGAGCCCCTGTGGGGATGATTCCCCCACCTTTGAATTGGGGAGCTGTTTTGTTGGTGTCTCTGAGGGGACCCCCACTGAGGCTGCTTTTGTGAGTGTTGGAAAAACCAAAAACTGCATTGAAACGTTTCTGGGAGGAGTTGCCACTGCCCGGGTGAAGAAAAAGTGCTGCTAAGGTTAGCAACCTGTCTGGCAGGGACAGGAAGCTGATAGAAAGTGAACAGGAAGCAAACAGGAAGTGAACAAGGAGCCACTTCCTACTTCCTCCTTATCCTTGCAGATTCCTGCTAGCGCTCCCGAGGGCAGAGCCTATCAGGGCACGAAGCCAGAATGTGGTTTGTAGAATCCCAGCCCCAGCATCTCCAAGCATAGGATGGATTTTGAAGCCAAGAGAAAATTAGCTCTTGGCTGGGTTCTGAGTGATCCCATCCAGCTGCTCCTGGACCTGATATTGAGAGGTTTTTCCCTTGGAGGGCAAACAAAGTGGCAGTGGGGACCAGGGTGCCCCCTACTGAGAAATGGAGAGCCCTTTTCCCCTGTAATTCTCTGAGGTTTGCCTTGTGGAGCCGAGTGCTTGGGGGAGGAGCTCCTGGCAGGACTCCTGCTGTTATTTGTCAGAGGGCAGCTGGGATTGGTTCACCCATGCTCTGAGTTGGCCCCAAAGCGAGCTATGCTGAACTCTTCTCCATCTCCAAGTAGACAACCTTTGTCTTTACATGCAAGAGGGATCCAGTTATGACAGGCTGACCCAGTTGGTCTCGTGTTTGGGGTTTATCTACTGAGTAAGGCTGACCTTACCTGAGTTTCTGTATGTGCATTTGCAAGACAGTTAATACTAATCCAGCACCCTTCACAGAGATGTAGTAACTTATAGAAGTGTCATTTGGAAAAGTCGAATTTGCCCTGCAAGGCATGTTCTCCATTCAAGGGTCTTGTGTAAACGTTTGCAGACACAGGTGCGGCGTTGGAGAACTCACCTCTGGCTCCTCTGCTTTTGTGTTGGGACAGCTGCCTAAATTAGGAGCTCTAGACCTGTTCTTGGTTCCCAACTGTTGGTCAGAATGAATTTTTTGCAAAAATATAGGTGGTTTCCAGGGAATTTAAATGATTGTATTTTGTGTCCATGGAACGTTTATAGACATGGAGGCAGGTGATAAATTTCTCCAGTACTTTTTTTTATCTCTTTTGTTCTTTTATGATTGTTCATTTCTAGGTTATATTTGGGAAAGTATAGATTATAGAGACTCATTGAGTGTTAGAGATTATTGGAATTTGGGGTTATTTCTTTTAATACCTTGAAGGGCAGAGTGATATGATAATTTACTGAAGGTTGCACAGTTTTTTTAAAAAAATTTCTAAGCATTTAATAGTTTTTACAAAAGTATGTACTCTATAAATTAAAATGATTTTTCTGTTTTTGGTTTTTTTTTTTTTTTTTGAGACACAGTCTCACTCTGTCGCCCAGGCAGGAGGGCAATGGCACAACCTCTGTGCGTTGCAACCTCCACTGCCCAGGTTCAAGCAATTCTCCTGCCTCAGCCTCCTGAGTAGCTGGAATTACAGGCATCTACCACCACACCCAGCTAATTTTTATATTTTTAGTAGAGATAGGGTTTCCTCATGTTGGTCAGGCTGGTCTTGAACTCCTGACCTCAGGTGATCTGCCCGCCTTGGCCTCCCAAAGTGTTGGGATTACAGGCATGAGCCACCGCACCCAGCAAAATAATTTTTCTATAGATATCATTGTTTAAATTAATTTAATTCTCAGTCTATTATAACAACACAAGCATGAGCCTAGGATATCATTAACATCTGATGTTGTGATAGAAATTGTCTGTGTTCCATGACTGTGGTCCAGAAGCATTACCTCCTAAGGCAATTTAACAAAGAAAAAGAGTCTAATTCCTTTTAATGGGGAACTCTGCTCAAGCCCGAGCTGGGACTCGCAGGTCTGGCTAACAATGAGACTTAACCAGCCATGACTACATGAATTCCGCCAGAGAAGAAGCAGCTGGATTCAGTAATGAAGCCTTGGGCACTGGGGGAGGAGGATGATCCTGGGGGAGGAGGATGACCTGCCATGTCTGGTGCTCAGATGTGTCCCTTGGTTCAGCTCTTTTTGAGTGCCATGTGGGTGGTGATCAATGATTCAAACTCTCAAACGGCTCTTTCACTAAAAATCCTTGAAGAGCCTGGGGTACACATACAAAGTGGGGAGAGGTCTTGACTTCACAATGCATCGACAAGCAGGTTCCACTGCTCTGGGTGTGGACAAGAAACAGCCAGGTCTGGTAGACCCCATGGGTGCTTGGCAGGACCAGCTTTGTTCATGAGAAACCAAGAGACATCCTTGGCACTGCCAGAAATAGACATGGAGCCCTTGCTAAGGCTTCATCACGAGCAGCCAGGGCATGGAGTGGAATGCAGGTTATTCCTAATGTAACCTCATCTGTCTGTCCAAGCTGGAGAGGCCCCGGGGTATCTTAGATTACACTAAACATATTTAACTTACATCTCTCAGAGGGACCTGCTTTCCTCTGATGTTCCACAGCCCGCAGCCTCTTTTTATTTATCTCTTCTCCATATGGAATTTTCTGCTTGGCAGGAGAGCTGTTTCAATTAGTCTCCCTGACGTAGCAGGTTCATGAAACATCAGAATATGTATTTTGTTAGTCCGTCTGTGTTGCTCTGTAACTAAGGCCCGGTCTGACACATATTGAGCAGCTGCTTCGAGCGGATTCTTTGGCTCCCTGTACAGAGTATGGTATTTACCCATTTGCAGATTCCACGGTTGGCGTTTAAACAGTTGAAGTTTAACCTCGGCAGCATGACTGAGCCTGCTGGTCATTTTCATGTTGGCAGGAGCTGTTAGGACATCAAATAGTTCCACATTCTGCAGCCTTTCTAGCCATGGGCTGGGAGCATGTCTTAAAGGATGTTAGTCTGCGTGACAGATAAGACGCTGCAGGAGGCTGGGCGCGGTGGCTCACGCCTGTAATTCCAGCATTTTGGGAGGCCGAGGTGGGTGAATCACCTGAGGTGAGGAGTTCGAGACCAGCCTGGCCAACATGGTGAAACCCCATCTCTGCTAAAATACAGAAAAAATTAGCCAGGGATGGTGGTGGGCGCCTGTAATCCCAGCTACTCAGCAGGGAGGTGGAGGTTGCAGTGAGCCAAGATAGTGCCATTGCACTCTAGAGCCTGGGCAACAAGAGCGAAACTGTCAAAAAACAAACAAACGAATGAACAAAACAAACAAACAAACAAAAACCAACCAAACAAAAGAGGCTGCAGGAAAGTCTTCAAGGAGGTAACTCATAAACAAAGGCACAGTGCAGATGTGGGCAAGCCACAGATATTTGGGGTGGCCTAGGAGCCCTCTGACTGGAATAGGAGGTCGAGTGAGAACTAAACAAAGAGCAGTTGTCGACTTTATCAACAGCAAGTCTAGGAACCCCTTTGGAATGAGACTAGAGCAGTAGGATCAGTCCCTTAGTCTCTTTTTTTTCGTCTTTTTTTTTTTTTTTTTTTAATAGAACAGGGAGAACAAGATGAGCACCCTGAGGTAGGGTTTTGATCCTTGGGTCCTAAAGGGGGTCTTCAGAGGCAGTGGAGGAGTTACATGGAGCAGCGCAGCTCTCGGTGCTGGAATCCCAACCAGGGACTGACGATGCATCCAGGAAGACAAGAATCTAGGAGTAGGAATGGCAGCCCTGCAGCCTCACTCCATGTGGACAGCGGTTGCGAAAAGATTGTTAAAGTGCTTTGCGAGCTGGGTCCCAGCAAATGTACGTATCTGGACGATGTGGCTCTTTTCAGCCTCGATTGAGTCATTCATTCTTGGAGGCTTTTTGGAATCCCCACACTTTTAGACCAAAGGGCACATTTTCAGAGCCCACACATTATCAGTGCCAGATAAGAGTAGACGCACTGAGAAACCAGGGGAGGTAGAGCCGGGGAAGGGGAGTAAACAGGGACCTGAGGTTTACTGTGATCTGATGTTGTCAGAGCCGGGGCTGAAGCTAAGGGCTGGGCTTATGTTTGTCAAGCAACCAGGAAAATCTCTGTCTTTTCCTTTCACTACACATCCCCACATCCCCTTCCCGCTGTCTCTCACCAGGAACCCCAAGACTTCAGCCAGCTACTGTGGTGCTTGCAAACCCCACAACGGTGTCCTAGATCTGTAGGGCATGGCTAGGCTGGGCCTCTCCCCAGCTCTGAGGATGTATGTGGGAACATGGGGGCATGCTGGGCAGGGCCAGATGGAGATGAAGAAATACCTCACGTTAGGTGGGGCTTGAAGCCACCCCATATTCTCTGCCTTGAGCCTGATGATGATCTGATTTCTTTATGAGGCAGGCCAGAATATACAGGTACCCACTCTTGCTAGCACACTGCTCAGGGCAGCAGATGGCATGGAAAGGACCTTTGACTTGGTGCCGAGACCTTGTCTTTTCTCCCAGGCCCTATATTCCAGGGCCAATGGAAATTCCAACCCCATCTATGGCCTTTCTTAGAAGCTTCTATTGTTGGGGGCCCGGCAAAGCTCATGGTATCAATTCACGTCCTTTCTAGATTCAGTTGGTCAGTCACCCAGAGCATTCCATTATTTTTGGTAGACAAAGGGATGTGAGAAGCCACAGGATTTCAGGCAAGTTACAAACCTGACCCTTGGGGTTGTTTCTGTGTGTCTGCCAATGGGGAGGGTTTTTATGGAGAGCAAAGTTAGTCCCAGAAGTACTAACTTCTGGAAGGAAGACAGGTGGCTCTCAGTGTGCCAAGCTCTCTGCTGACAGTTTTGCATTTTGGAGCTTGTCTAAGCTCCCACAGACTTAGACCCATGCTCACTAGTTGATTAGATAATTATGGAAGGAGGAGAGCCCCTTCGAGATTGGAACTTGGGCCTCTCAACTCCAAGTGCAGGCTGCTTCCCCGAAATTCAGATCTCCTCTTCATTGGTGTTACCCATGACAACCCTGCTCGTGTCCTCAAGTAGAGCAGATGAGTTTGTCCAGTGGCTGCTGACCCCAGCTTCAGCCATGGCTTCTGTATGATGAAGCAGCCCCGCTGGAGACCCCTCTTCATGTGGCCGATTTACCGTGTGTCCCTGGACCAGCAGAGGTAGGATGGTGAGGCTGAAGGTCCCGAGACCTGGGCGAGGTCAGCTGTGTTTGCCGTCATATTTCCAGAGCCCTGCAATGGCCTGGCACAGAGTTGGTGCTCGAGTATTTATTGAGCAAGTGATTTGTGAGAACAAGTCTTAGCACCCAATCTAAAATGCACTGGGAAGAAGTGGTTTCTTTCATCATGTCCAGAGGCTGGAAAAACCACTTGACTTTTATAAAGTTTGAAACACTGAGTAGGCAGCTCTGCTATGAAGGCTACGAAGGTTCCGTCTAGTCCCAAGAGTATGATTTGAGTGAACTCTTCAGTAGGTTCCTTTCATGTACCCTTCCTTATGGAATATTAGAGAGAGAGAAGGAACAGGAGGCACAAGTTCAAAAAACTTAACATATAGTGATTCTATTCTTTTAAACGACCAATCCATAGCTATCTGATGGAATTCCAAGTAGATTTCCTTTTCTTTAGCCTTCATCAGAAGGGACGTAATTTCCCAGACCTAACCTATTCCTTGCTCCCATGTTTGCAGCATGCCAACAGGCGCTCAACAAATACGCATCCAGTGCTGCCTGTGCCAGGCTTGGTGCCAGGGCCCCAGCCGTGCACACAGGAGACGCAATCAGGCTTACGTCCCGGCAGTGGAGCGTTAGACAAGCGCATGATCGCATTGCAGTGGTGATGCGAGTTACGAAGTGCAGGGCTCTGTGAGTGTATTTGCTTTAGGCTCATGACGCGTTCTCTCAGTCTCATGAAAGAGGGATTACGGAAAGAGGCAGGATTAGTATCAGGACAGCTGCTCATAAAAAGGAGTGAGGTCATGGAGAATTTTTGGCCAAGTTGAATGTGAGTGGCTGGGTAAGTTTTTAAAACTTTGCAAAGCTGCGTTCGGGTTATATTCAGCCCCTACATCCATGTTTGTTTCTGTAGCGCCATGGAGCGATCCCTGGTTCAGACAGGCTTTAGGTCAGGGCATCTCTCTCTGTAGCCCAGTGTAGTGACAGCACAGAGGAAGTGTCAAACATATGTACGCTGTTTGTTCCAGGTCTCTTATTCCTT